GAGGGGTCAGGAGCTGCCGGCGTGTCCTTTGGATTCCGTCTGTGCGATTCCACACGCCCAGGACCCTCGGCTGTGGCAAAAGGATCAGCAGTGGAGCTGGCCCTGCACCAGCCCCCCTCTTGGCAGCTTAGGCCAAGCACAGGTTACTCCGATGAGTCTCCATCTGAGCCCAGCCACAAGGGTCACCTCCAAAGGCCTTTCAACAGGCCAATGGCAACTTTCGCTTTGTGGGCCGGCTCCAGCAGGAGAAATGTCACCAGCCCTTTTCCTCCATGCTCCACTCCTTTTTCCGGGTGTTCTGGACTGTCAGGCCAGGCAAAGGCAGGTGGAAGAACGCTGAGGGCCCCGAAGGGTCGAAGGCTGCGCCATTCCTCTTGAAAGAGCCAAGTTCAACCTCAGCCCATCGCAGAGAGCAGAGCAGGGGGAACAGGAGGCAGAAGCATTCTGAATAGCAACCTCACCATCATCCTACTGCAGTGACCCCAACCTTTTGGGCACCAGAACCGGTTCCTAGGAGAGAGGTTTTCCTGTGGACTGGAGGTGGGGGGGGCGAGGTTTGGCACGCTCCCTGCATCCTGTGGGTGGACTTTGCTTGCTGGTGTGGCCCAGTTTCTGGCCTGCTGCCGGTCCACAGGGCGTGTGTTGGGGAACCCTGTCTTAGCGAGTAAATTCTACAATAAATAACTATATTGACAATTCCACCACCACCTCCTTTTCGATAATTCATATTGAGTATAAACAAACACACACAAAAGTTGGGGGCGTCACCTTTATTTAAGAAAAAAAAAGCAACTGACTGATACAACTGACTGGCTGGAGCGGCAGGACGGGATATGGGGGCTCTACTTCACATGTCTTCGTTTGGCTGAGTATATCCCAGCATCATATAATATGACAGCCTGGTTTTAATTATTTCTTACATTTATCTTTCAGATCAGTTTCTAATTTTGCTCTTATGTCGCTTAGGGAATATTTAAATGACATTTGGCTCAATCGAAAAAGAAAGTAAAAATGGTACTCATTAGGTAAATCAAAGCCTTCCAAAGGCAAAAGTCACTTAATTTTGCCCAATCAAGGGAGAAAAAATCAAACATTTCCTCTTGAATGGTTGGTATTGAGGAAGACTGAATTGTATGCAGCCAGCTAAAGGGGCCTTTCATCACACCCATAAGCTGCACCTTTGACTTCCCAATTTCAGCCTTGTAAAATGAGCCCATAAGGAGGGAGCTCAGAAGGGGCTCCCCAACCACGAATTATTTATCTTTGCCCTGGAATCATATTCAAGCACACAGGCTTCAAATCTCCCTCTAATGATGATGTTACCTAGGTTGGTAAGGAAACATCTGCAAGGAAATAGCCAAGCTTGGAGAGCATCAAGGACCCCCAGTTCAGCCCCCAGCTTCTCTTCCACCTTCCTCTAAGTCCAAACAGGCCTCCTTCTGGGGGACCCTCTGTGCCCCCTTAGCAGAGGCTGCCCGCTCAAAGCGCCCATTCAGGACCAGGCAAAGCTGAAGGTTGCCATTGCATTTTGCCCCAGTGATCAGTCTCCAGCCCTCCTCCTCTGCCAGCAAGGAGCGGAGGGGGAGGGAGCCCCTTCTGCGGGCGGAGGAAGATGGGCTGAGCACCCAAGCACCCCTCCCCACCCCGGTTGCGCCGCTGCTCTTCTGCCCGCAAGCCGATCGGCTCAGGGGCGCCGGGTGGCACATCTGCAGCGCGCTGGAGAGCCGGCTGGCGGCGGTCTAGTTCGGGAGCGAAGCCGTCGGGGGACTCCACTCTCCGGCTGGGCGCCTTCTTCCCGCGCTCCTTGGCGAATTCTCCGCGAGGCAGATGCCCCGCCGCCGCGCCCCGACCGACCCCGCTATCCGGCGCCCAGACCGCGAGGCCCCGCGGGGTTCCCGAACCCCCGTCCCCCCTGGAGCGCCAGGCGCAACGGCCCCGGCGGAGCCCCCTCCTCCTCCTCGGGCGTCCCGGTCTTACCTGGGCCGACGGCAATGACAGCGCTCCCTCCGATGTCGAACCAGGGCCAGGCGTGCAGCGGCCCCGCGCACAGGGCGCTCTCGGAGGCCAAGGTGGAGCGCATGGCGGGCGGTGGCGGTGCGCTGGGCCTGCTCGGCTGGTGGCTCTGCCGGGGGTCAGGCCGCTCCTCGACGCCGAGCAGCAGCAGCAGCAGCGCGTCGCCTCAGCCCGAGCAGCCACTGGCCGAGGCCGCCCGGCCCGCGCTATTTATGGCGCCGCCCGCGAAGCGAACGGACGGCCAGGGGGCGGAAGCGAGCTAGTCCCTCCCCTGCCTGTCGGGCCAGGGACCCCCGCACCCCTGCCCCCTGGACGGCCGTGGCCGGAGCCGCGCCCTCGCCCGCCGGGTGCACGGCCGCGTCCTGGCCAGCGCGGGGCAGGGGCGACCGGGCAGCCTTGCCCTCGGATCCGGCACGCGGAGCCCTCTCCTGGCTGGGCTGGCGGAGGGCGGGGAGCGCGCGGGAGGCCTGTGCCTGACCCGCGGCTTCCGAGCTCGGCCGCTGCTCCGTGGCCAAGGCGGTCCGGCCTCCCGCGCCCAAACGCGGTTTTCCAGCCCCCGTCCCTTCCCAGGCTTTTTTTGCGGGGACCTGCGCTTTGTCGGCGGAGAAAGAGGCAGCCTGGCCGCCCCGACCTTGGCCGCGGGAACCAATCTCTGCAGGACTCTTCAGCCACCACCGCCACCTTCATCTCCCCCCTGAGCTTGCACGAACAGGCCTTGCATTAGGCTTAGAGCCGCCGTTACACCTGGGCCTACATCGCTCTGTTTGGAGTGCAAAACTCTGCCTATTAAAATTGTTCAAATCACTTTTTAAAAACCCTCCGGGCCAAATGCCTGCAGGCTGCGGATACAGGAGCCTCCCCCAAGAGGTTAGAGAGGGGAGTGAGGGGGGGGGGGCACTTGTTGCTCAGCCGATGATGATGCAGGCCAGAAAGCACCCAAGTCTGTTTCTCAGGCAGGTGGATCCTACTCAGGTGTTTTTGGTTTACTCTGTCAATCCCTCCGGTCAGGTAGGCAGGTCTGCCCAGAAGGACCGAAGGCTTGGACACTGTACACACTTATTGCACAAGAGGCCACACTTGATACAGCAGGACTCCCTTTTGAGTAGACACCCTTGTTTCCCATAGCAGCTTTACACCTGTTAGACCAGTGCTGGGGGGCTCCAAAGCAACACGGCAGAGGCTCCTGTAACCTCCAGCGGGACAGTGCGGAGGGTCTGCTGGGCTTTGCCCCAAAAGGGCTGCTCTCAAAGGTCTCCGGCCTTTGGCCCAGTTTCCATCCTTCTGGGGTCCTTTCCCTCGTAGGAGGGCCCACTTCTAAGCACATGGGGGGGGGGGCTAAGCCTCCAGGGAGGGGAACTTCCTCCAGACTTTGGAACGGGATTCCCAGGAACCAGAAGTGCCCACAGAGCCCGTTAGCCTCATCAGATGGGCTGCTTAATCTCCCCCCACTAGCTGCTGAGCTCAGTGGGGTTCAGGGTTGCCTCCCCTTTGTCCCCATTCATCTCGCACTCCCTTTGCGCTCCTGACTCGGTTAATTTGCCTCAACTGGAGGAGGTCTGGCCTTGCCCGGTTCTGTAGTGGGCTGGCACTTCCCAATCTAGCTTGCAGCTTTTCCTGGCGATTTCTTACCCAGAGTTACCTGGAGGTAAGATGGGCGGCCTATCAATTGTGCAAATACATAAATAATAGCAGCCCCGTTGTGACTGCTACTCATCTGCAGTCAAGGCCAGAGCATCCACCCTCAGGCCTGGGGAGAGAGAGCACTGAGGACCAACGCAGAGAGGAATCGGCCGCCAAGGGGAGAATGGATCTACTACTGGATTGCTGCCAAACCCACTTGCTTAATTGAGTCCCACTGCTCTATATTTGGACTCTCACCCAACCAGCTTGGCCCCATATCCGCTCTTCAGAGTGCCAAGTGGAGGGGCCTGCCCGAAGGAGCTGAGGCGGCACCCTTCTGGCAGAGGCTCAGGGTGCCTTAAGTCTCCCTGTGTGGCTTTTCTCCAGACAGATAAGCCTGCTGAAGCCCTTCCCTTTCTCAGAAGCCGGCAGCTGCTGCCTGTTTCCCATCATTACCCTTATTCCAGTGGGATCAGCTTCCAAGACAAGATTGGAACCCTGGATTTAGGGAGAGAGATAGACATGCAGGGACCTTGTTTTCTTATCAGCCAATTTCAACAAACCCACAAGAGCAGATGCAGCCTCCGAGTAGGAGGACCCCACGGTCACCCCTATGGCCAGTCTGGCTGCCGGGTGCATTTTTTTGCACTGACGTTGCCAAATCCTCCAGGGTCTCGTGTATGTACGGCTGGCGGGTCTCGGCTGTTAAAAAGCCAGTTTCAAAGACGCTGGAATCATTGCAAAACAATCCAAAGCCAGGAGCTCAAGGAAGACCAGCCTAGTGAGACCAGACAACCTGGCTAGAGAAGATGCCGAAACCGTCTGCTCAGCCACCCCGTTAGCACTTCCTTTACAGAAGAGGCGGCTTCAGCTCAGGCACGAAGAACTGACAGAGGTGCAGCTGAGTGGCGTTTCCACAAACACTCCGTGCTCTTTATGGGAAGAGCTCCCCTCACAAGAGAGAGACCTTCATTTCCCCAAACATACTGCAGACTGCTGTACTTTTTGACCTCTTTGTTATGCGCCATCAAGCATCTACTCTTAGCAGCCCCACAGATGTTCTCTGTAATGATCTGTCACCAACCTGGTCCTTCTGCCCAAAATTAACATCTGAGACTCCAGCTAAGCTGTGCTAGGAAGCTGGCATAGAACTCTCGGTCTCCCAGCTGCAGCTGGGCCTGGTACTGTGGGCTGGACTAGCTGGAATCCGGCTCAAGCCCGGCCCGGCCCCTGCCGTCTTCAGCTCAGGGCTCCAGTCCTAGACTGATGGAGAGGCCAGCAGTCCCCTCCCCCGCCTCTTTAGGCAAAGACCCCCCAACAGCAGAAGGACCACCTGGTCAGCCGGGCATGTCAAGGAAATTAATCTGGCTGGTCCAGACTTTTATTACAGAATAGGCATACAATGAAAGAGGACTATGTAAACCAAAACACAATTAAAATTACATAGTTAATTTAACCATTTGAAACTCCAAGTACAGGAGAAGCTTACAGAAAATCCTCCTAAGCGAGTCCCGTTGGCGGATGCCGGTGGGATCATTTTCGGTAGGAAACCTGGCTACACACTGGCTGCTGACAGTGTTTGATAAGACAAGTGGAAGGAGCAGCATCAGAACCATTTAAAGGAAAATGACTTGCAGACGGTGCCTGAAAAAGCGTATCGCAGTGGAATGACAATTCCTGGGGTTTACAGCAAGGACAGTGGTCTTCCTAGATCCCTGCTTGGCTCTGCAGGTAACAGAGGCACTAAACTGACGGATAAAAGTGAAAGACGCCATCAGAAGTTAGAAAACAGCTGTCAATGGAGTGAGGTGGGTGCAGAAAACCTCTGCAGACTCAAGTCAGGAGGACTTGCCATCCATTGTGTAGTAGCGATACATCAAGCCCAGAACCAGGGCTCCCAGGATAGGGATTAGCCAGACCGTCCAGATGCTGAGGAACAAGGAAGAAAGAGAAGGTGTGAGCGACATTTCCATGATTCCAGCCTTCAGAACCCCTGACTACTACATGCAAGATGGAGACGAAGGTGAAGGGCCCCCAAGGACATCTGCGTAGAGCAACATCTTGGCCATAATTCTCATACGTTCTAGCAACTGAAATTCACAAGAAGGCTGACAGCTGCAGCCCAGCCTTTTCTGTTCCTCTTCAGAGTTGCAGCTGCTGTGTTTCAGTTTCTTAGCACAAATGCATTCTGGGCAACATGGCCTTTTCTGCACAGTTCAGCCAAACTATGGGGTCATATGTTCCAGATACCAACCCTCGTTAAAAAATTTCCTACTTCACGGCACAGCATTATGAGGGTCAGCAGTTAAAGATTCCCAAAGGAAATTCTCTTAAAGTTATCAGAGAAATGTAAAACATGTTTTCATTTGCATTAGTCCTACTGTAAGGGTCTAATGTAAGTGCCAGCTATAAGATGCCAACTATAAGATTCCTCTCTTGCCACCACCAGGGAGATAGATTTCACTAGCTACACAATGCCTGGAAGCCTTCCAATTGAAGCAGGAGGACACACATTTCCAGAGGCTGCTTTTCCAAAGGGAGCACATTTCTTTGATTCACAACATTGTCAGAATACTGTACCTTGACTCATGGAATGGGCTTGGAACCTGGGGAGATAAAAGGCACATCCTTGTGTTAAGCTGACAATTGCTCAGAGAGCCAGAAAGCTCTTCCCATCTTTCTCACTTTCTGGGGAGAAGGGGGTGTCTTAGTTTCCTTCCCCTGGTCCAACCCCCCCCCCACTCTTTATTCAGACAGAGGCTGACAGTAGGACACCATGTCCCATCACTCTCCACAACAGGCAAAGGGGGCTTTCCTAAAGGAGAATGACAACATTTCTCAGCCCATCGTAAGAACCAAATGCCCGACTTGTTCCTCCCTTCCACTTTGCTGGTTGGGGTCTGTGCCCCTGTGCCCATTTTCCCCTAAGAGCAACCCTTGCATTCAGCCTGGTTCTAAGAGCTTGGCCTTCTTCGGAATCGGAGGGCAGAAGATAAAGGGGGTTAATGTGCCTTGTCCAGAAATGCCTGAAGGAAGGAGCAGTCTGAGCAACAAAGGAAAGTTTCAAAAGACAGTGAATTGTTAATGAGTCCCTTACTGAGGAGGAGGAGGAACCCAAAGCAGCATGGCTGTTCCCAGGCAAACGTTCTCAGCGGGCTATGAAGAAAAGCTAACCGTCAAGTTACACCGAACTCCCTCATGGGACTCAACTCAACGAATCCTTTCTTTGGCCCACGGCCCTGTCTGTCCCACCAGATCTAAGGCGTTCACTGTAGGAAAAACGACCACGTTGGGAGGAAGAATGGAGACCTAAGCCGAGATGAGATGAAAAGATGAGACGTTTCCGGAGAAGAGCAAGTCCTGAAGCCCAAGCCAGACCTTGGGAAGGAGGAAGGATGGCGCAGAAGGGCTGGATGGGGTGGACGCTAAGTGGCTTCAGAAAGGGAGGCCCAGGGAACCTTCTGAGACGACTGTCCAGAAAGGCCCCAGCCGAACAAACAGAAACTCACTGCGTCAAACAGGTAATCCCACTGCAAGAGCAGTAAGACAATTAAGTCAGAGAGACATTTTTGGGCTGCTATTCATCACAGATAATGGACGTGAACAGGAGGGGGGGGGAGAGAGAGAGAGAGAGTAAATGTAGAAGCCTTTAGGAGAAACCGAGGTTTGTATCAAAGTTGGTTTGATACGTTTTCACGACAAAAGCATCCCGCTGCTCACAGCACTCCACTTCCCTTATACCACATGCTGCAAACCAAGGCTAAGTCTGTCCTCTGTGACTCCATATATGGCGCAGTCAGAAAACAAGCCAATTAGGTAACCAAATTAAGCAAGTTGTGCAAACTCGGCCACCGTTTCCTTCTCCTCCTGCCTTTCTCCCCTGGGCCTGGTGCACGAAATTGCTAGGAGGCTTGGCCCTTCGCAGTCACAGGCAGTGCGCTGGACCCTCCTTCTCGACACAAGTTTTCCCCCGACTGGCAGGCACCCCCCTAGAGACCCTGGGCCTGACACAGCGCTTGAGGGGGCCAACATTTTCAGAAGGTGAGAAATGCCACTTCAGAGCTCTCTGCAGTCAGCCCTTCCATCTTCCCATCTTCCCCAGAGGTAACGAACCAAAGACCCAGCAAGGGGAAGATTTATGCCGCAGTGGTCAGATAGGAGGGCAGCTCAAGGGGGGGCCTAATGTCCAAGGGATGTGGCTGGATGTTCAAGGAGATTTCTGCCCCAGCTGGAGGAGCGGGCTGACTTCAAGGCAACAGGTGGGAAGGGCTGCCAGTCAGAAGCTGGGCCTGTGGGCAGTCTCTTGGTGAAGGGCAGGTCACCTGGAAAGGCGGCAGATTCAGGAACTGGCTGGAGCCAACCTGAGATGCCTGCCTTGCTCCCAGAAGAAGCGACCTGTCTCCACATTTCCCTAGGAGCCATTACTGGGGAGAAACATCCATGGCAGAACTGGAAGTACGCTGCCTTCCAGTTCCATTCCTTGTTGCTAGTCCAGAAGGACAGACAGACAAAGCACTTGGTGGAGGTGGAAAGAAAGCAGAATTGCTACTGTGCCTTGCTTCCCGTGACAAGGTAGGGCCGCCTTGCAAACAGCTGGCCATCAACCGAAAGGCAGCCAGCCTTAACCAAATCCCACCCAAGGGGCCTCCAAGAGATTGCCAGCTACAGCCACGTCAAAGGCCACCTTTAAAACAATTCTCCTCTCCCCTTTTCTAACTCAAGCTGCATCATCACAGCGTAGGCCTCTCCGTAGGACTGGCAGATGTAAGCATATTTGCATCCCAGCTTCTTCGTCCTCCTGTCCCCATTGCAGGAGGTCCAATCTCAGGACATTCCCCCTGGTTTCGGCTAAAGCGTTTCTCAAAAAGCCCGAGAGAGGATTCGGCACCTCTGAGTCATGCAAATACCGTTGGTTCTTTAAACTCACAGATCTGGTGTTAGCTGAACATGCAGAAAGGGAGAAAGCAGGGAGGAAGGAGGGCAACATGCAAGAGCAGCTCTTCGGTTAGGCCTGGCAAAGGAAGAAGAAACACAGAGAGAAGACTGGCTGGCTTTCCTGGGCTGAGAAGAGCCTCCAGAGGGTCCACAACGGATCCCAAAGTGAAGGCAGGATTTCTTTGGGGAAACTTCTGGCTGCTACCAAAAAGGTTGCCACAAGGGAGGGTTGTGCAGAGGGACAGATGGACAGCCTTGCAGAGGAGGAAAAGGAAAGGCAGCCAAGGGCTCAGTTCACCCTTCAGCCCCCCTGATTCGAGGGAGTGAGGAGAGCCCACAGCAGGCCTTCGGAATGGCCTGGGAGCCTTTCTTAGAGGTTGGTATCAGAGCACCGGGCTTCCCCCGCAGCCCAGGCTCTCCCACAGGTAAAGCCCTCTTGTGCCTCTGAAAAAACAGGCCGAGAAGCGGGGAAATCCTGCAAAGCTTCTGGCCTCAGAGGCTACCAAGCCAGAACAAGGCAGGCCCATTTAGCCCAGAGACTTCATCCTTGCAGGAACAAGCCCACCACCTCTGCTTCTCCCCCACAATCACAAAGCACAGAAATCCCCACCCCCACCCCAGAAAGGTTTACAGCCTCCAATCTCATTCATGGGGAGGGGCTCTTGGACAAGGCTGTTTTCAGCCCTGGCCTCCCCTCAGGCCCCTTGGGAGAAATCAAGGCCACCCACTGCAGCTGAAAGTGGATGACTCTCTCAGGACAAGTTCAGTGAGCTGCAAGCTGGGACATCATGCTCATCCCAAGCCTTTGTTGACACAAGAAAGGGAGGGAGGGAGGGAGGGAGGGGCAACCTAGGACAATTACCACCTGGGCTGCAAGCTAAGCTGCCCAAAACCCTTTCTTCCCTTGCTGCAAAGGGCTGCACTGTCCTCGCCACACGGCACTCTACCCAAAGGGAAGAGGTCACTCAGCCACTTCCACAGGAGGGCTACTCCACAGTGCCAGCGACTGTACACGAGGCCTCCTCACGCTCCCTCCGCTGCAAGACAGAGCAGTCAAGAGGAAACAGGAAGTCCCGGCTCCTCCAAGAAATGCCAAGTGCCTTACCCAAGGACCTCTTCTGCCCCAGAGGACTTTCTCCTATTCCATCCCCTCAAGAGGCCCACCGAGATAAAAAGATAAAAGTCCTTTCCTCTCGGAGGCCCTCAGGAGCTGGCAGTCAGAGCTCTGCTGCCTCTGGACATGGGTCCCGTCTGCACAAGAGGTCCCCGAGTCCTGGACAGTCTTCCTTCCAAGGTAGGAGACTGACAGGCCGCCCCACTTGCAAGGCAGAAAGATGCTGCCTGTGGGAAAGACGAGCGGCTGACGGCTCATGCATCAGTGGCCTTGTGCTCACTGCCTTGACCCAAAGCACTCTGCCAGAAGGATAATAAGGGTAGTGCTCCCCCTTCCCCCTCCTCATACCTCCACAGCCTGCAACATCTCACTCAGCTGAAAACATGTTTCTGTTCTTACAGCATTTTTGTAAGTACTGAAGGATGCTTCCCTGTTAGAATAAAAAGGAAAACACACCACCAGGACTGGGCCTTACCTTGGAGGTCTCGGGTTTGCGATCATCCTATGGAGAAAAGGGGAAAGGAGGAGAGACTCTTGTTACACATCTGAGGAAAAACAGCAATTCGACATAGAAAATCTACACAAATGCACTGAGCCGAAATCCTCTCTCTTCCTTCATCCGGGGCGATAACCACGGTTAAGGTCTTCGCTGCCCGGGAGGAAAAATGTCAGCCAGAAAATGAAACGTCTTTTGATAAGAGAGAGGAAAACCAAAGTCCCCTTCCAGTCATTTTTATATCCATTTTGATTGGTCCTTGTCAGCCCAGCTGTTTTCTTTGGGATCCCTTTGGAGAGATGTGGGGAAGGCATCAAAGCTGGCGAGTGAGGCCGTCCTGCTCTCCTTGCTCCCGACCTCACCTGCATAACCTGCTTGTAACTCGCAAGGGAAACGGCCTGGCCGGCTAAGCAGGAATCCTCAGATAAGCCAAGCCAAGGAAGACGGGTTCCCAGGACCATGGACGCAGAGGGGCTCAGAGAAGCAGCTGCTCCCCCACCCCCCAAGGGGAAAACCTTCCAGCACAAGTATCACAAAGGCCCCAAATTCATGTTATAAATCAGACTTTACCGGATGGACCTCTCCTATGAGATACTGTTGGAGCATTTCTTTAGCATCCCGGGAATGGCCAACGTCTTCAAAGCTCTCTGTGGCATCTCTACCAGCTTGTTCAAGCAGAACCCTGTCTCCACCTGGATGCTAGAAAAGGACAGAAAGTCTGAGAAAGGGGAGCAACCGGAAAAAGAACAAGCCCTCTATCTAACGGTATAAAGAACTGGCAAGCAGTCAAGATTTTCCTCAGTGAGGAGCTAGGAATTTTTTATCATAAAACCCATCAGAAAGCAACAGGACTTTTTCTACTTTTAAAGGTCTGCAATCTTATTAATGCAACCTTATTGAAGTCCTAGCCCTTTCAATCACACGGAAACTCTCGGAGGTAAATAAACATGTACGTGTCATATTCTTTCTGGGAACTACCTTAAGGAAACCCATCGGCCAAGGGATGGCGGCTTTCCCTTGGCTGACAGGAACTATGTTAAGGAGCCTCCATCAGCCAAGCACCTAGATAGTCAATATTGCAAATATATACCGTATGGTCTCCTCTAGGCATCTAAATCTGTCCACCCAACGGTCCACAGAAATGTGGCCAGAGCAAAGGATTCTGGGAAGTGCAATTCAGCCATGCAGACATGCCTCTCCATGCAGTTCTGGTTACTCAGGAAGGAGCTTGTTTTTCTTATCTCTGGCCAGATTAACGCTGGTATGTTGAATACCCTTCTCTGTTTCAGGAAATTTGCAAGACTTCTACGGCCTATTCTTGTCCCTAAGATTTTGAGGGTGACAGCAGCTCTTTATTCTGCTTGGGGCTCAGCTACTCGAGATGCTGGATGCCGGTAGAGGCTTTGGCAAGCAGGCTGCCAGCCTTGCACTGCAAAGGAAGGAGTGCAAGGGAAAGTCTTCTGCTCTGCTGGCCAAGTGCCCAGCATTAATCGTGGCTGGTTCCCTCGGGAAGATGGCAGGGATGGCCTCCCCATGGCTGAACTGCTGCCCACTGAGGGTGATAATGGCAGGGCGGCGGGGCAAATGGCCTAGCATGCTGAGAAGGCTACTTACATGACATTTCCAACTGATGTTTGGCTTCCTGCTTAACCCACCCCCTCCACCACCGCCCCCGGGGAGCAGATGCCATCAGCTGACAGCAGTACAGAAGCCAGACAGCTTGTCGGGTCAGTAAGTGCAAAGCGGGCAGAACATGCCCAGACACACCCTCAGCACTCTGCAAGGAACCCTGCGGTGGATTTTGCTCCCAGGGTAAAACTCCTCCAAGGGTGAGGAAGGGAGCAGAGGTCAAAGGAATCATCTCTGATTGACGTCATTAGTTTTCCCCTGTGGCAGATTTCACATTTTTACCCAGAGAAACACAGAAAGTAGTGTGGACACAGGGGGAAGCAAGAAGACACCGACAGCACTCAACAAGGGCTCCATTTGCACCCTTGGCAATTGATCTCCCTTCTCCCCTTTGCCTCTCTGGCCTCTACACGATTCAATTTTGGTGCCACCAAACTCTGGGAAGCTCACAACGTAAGTTGACCTTGAGTTTCTTAAGTTAACTTCCGGTTCACTGGAGGAGGCCAGGACGTCACAAGCAGTTCTATTCTTGGCACCTCCTTACAGGCTGTTCTTCCCAATGCCTTAAATAATCCAGCTCAACAAGAAGCATAATTGGATGTACAAAAAGATTGAGAAATTGGATTAATCCAGAGTCAAGGGATATTTCAGGCAATGTAATAATTTCCACTTGCATGCTGAGGTGGGGAGCATGTCGTGTCCATTCAACTTTGCTTCTACACTTCAAGCAAATGCAATTCAGTTTTGCCCTCCTGGCTCCGAGCTCTTGCAACCACTTAGGAGTGGCGAAGGCTCCAGAGCTCTACAGAATCAAGGTAGCTTCTCCCTTCTCTGCCCTCTGCCCTGCAAATATTCTGAACTCTCCCAGCTGAGCTCCTCCCTGGGCACCTCCTGAGGACGACTCCGATGCCCTCTTGACTGAGAGCTGAAGGGCAGCAACCTTATATTTTCCTCAGCACTATTTAGAGTATTTATTTACTAAGGTATCTCAAATACGCCCTTCAACACAGGGGAGTCGGTAAAAGAGGAAGTGAAGAAGAGGATTTGAAGTAAAACGTGCTGATTAGGGGGCTCTGCCGTTTGAGCGATCTGTGGACTGTTAGGATAACTTTATTATGGTTTCACCTTGTGATTAGCTGTTTTCATGCCTGTAATATATTCAAACAAGAGGACAGTTGGAGACATTCCTACAAAGAAAGAAACAAGACAAGGAGCTCTTGTGTGTCATTTGGGACTTAGGCTCTATTGCTCTCCTTCCTTCAAGGGGCTGCGCTGCCAGTCCTGGCTTGGACAGAATTTGCTGAGGTTCAACCATCGGAGTGTAAACAGACGAACTCCCCACCCACCCCCACTACCTCCGGGAGGCCTTGCAGCTGCTCGTGGAAGGGGCAGCCGGGCCGCTGCGGGGGCCAAAGAAACTGATCTCCCGGCACAGCGGCCTCCCCGCTCCAAGGCGCCGGCGGCCCACCGCGTCTCAGAAGCGCGGCCCGCTCAGCCGCCAAGTCGGCGGCCGACGCGACGGGCGCCCAAGCCGGCAGCCCCACCGGCGGGGATGCGGGCGAGTCGCCTCGTTTGCCTCCGCCGCCGCCGTCGCGCCCCCCACCTCGTCGAGGAAGCGGGTGACGTCATAGACGCGGTCGTGGATGACCAGCCAGGCCTCCCGGTCGCTGCTGCGCTTCGCCACTTCGGCCAAGGTGAAGAACGGGCCGGCCTCGGGCCTTGCGCCGCCGCGCTCTCCGGCCGTCCCCATCCGCGCCTCGCCGCTCTCGGCCCCGCGCGCGCCCCGCCGGCGGCCCTCCTGCCTCGGCCAATAGCAGCCGCGCGCGCGACCCAAGCAGCCAATCAGGCGTCGGCGAGCGGGTCTTCCGGGAGGAAGTGACGTTGAGCCGGATGGCTGCCGCTGTCAACCCGGGAGGCCTCCGAGGTTTCTCCCTGGCGCGCCATGTTTCTTGGGGGGCGCCTCGGTTTCCCCCAGTTGGGATTGGGGAGCTACGTGACATTTTATCCCACCTTCTTCCAAAATGTATAACTCAAGGTTGCCAACATCTCCTGGTTCCCCCACGACCACCACCCGGTGCAGTGGGCGAAGAGAGCGACTGTGGTGAAAGGAAGCCTGGAACCCCAAAGTCTCCCGCTTTGTAGGGCGGCAATTTCCCCACTGCACCAAGCTGGCTCTCCAGTTGGGCAGCAGGAGACAGGAGGAATTAGCGGCCTGCCAAATGAACCTTATTTGTGAAAAAGGGCTGGTGACCTAAAAGTCCGGATCTTAACGTTCTGCACGTGCCGGCTCTTCGTTAAGCACGATGGATAGGAAAGAAAGGAGGCCCAGCGGGCTCATAGATGAGGCGTATCTGAACCACGAAGTGTATTCAATTGTAGAAAAGGGCCTGATTATTCCCCAGGGACGGTCCTGCTTTCCTGTTCTTTGTTTAGTCAGTCACGGGAAATATTTTCGGGTGGGGGACAGCCTGTGTGGAAAGCCGTCATTTTCACAGGAAATGTGCGCTTCTCTTTATTTTCCAGTCAAGCGAGTTTGGCCACATGAGCTGGAGGCTAGCCCAGCAGCTTCTTCATTTATTTACCATCAAGTTACAGAGAGTTGGAATGGGGTGGAGATAACGATAGGCCAGAGATACACAGTCACAATGCAGACCGATCTGCGTGGTGGCTCCATCTTATCTGAGGTAATAAAAACCAAAAATGTAGGTAGGGTAGATTGATCGCTCACTTCGTTTGTTGAAAGGTGACACAAGCGTTACCTTGAGCTTCTGGAAAGCTCCTTATACATGGGTGGGATTTGGGAGAATCAGAGTAATTTATTTCCCCTTTGGACTTTCAAACAAAATGATAGCTTTGCTTTACAAGTACCTACAGTATGTATCCCTCATTCGCTGGTTCAATGCATAAACCCTTCAGATATGTATTTCAGTTGAGTGTGAATACAAATAGCTTTTCCCCCACTTCTCTCAGTCCGTGACATCTGCAGTGGTTTCTGGACTCCAAAGCAGCATTTCAGAAGAGGATCTCTGTTCTGAGCAAGGGTCCAAAAGAAAGTTGCCATGGGGTCTTTTTCCTACCCTACAGATTTTACCAACACCCTCAGTGTGGTAATCAACTATGATGTGCCATTGCATTTCAGCTGCTAAGTCCAATTATAACCTTATATCAAAGAACTGTGGCTGGTTGTATCATGCCAAAATAATTAACACATTTATCAGTGTTGAGGTTTACTTAAAAGTAAGCACAGTAAGAACCAGTAGTATTCAGTGTTGTGGTCAAAGGTGCTGGACTAGACACAGCAAGACCTGAATTCTCGTCCTCCTTTAAGAACCAAAGTGATCCCTCTGTTTTCAGCCTAGACTCTCAAATTAGAAAGCATCCTGAAAGAGACGCTTTCCCCCTTCTCAAATGCATGGATCAAGGCATGTAATCACCAAGAACCATGGACCATAACAGGAAGCATGAAAAGCATGGCTGAGGTTCACAGGCTACTCTGATGCCATTGGACTCCTCTGGCAAGTATATGGTGGTGTCAGTTGCTGTTATTATAATGCCTGGAGACATGCTGCTGGCTCCTTGAGCTGGTTGCAGTGTTGCCTTTGCCTCTCATGCCCCAGCTCCAGCCAAGTCAGTGGCTACACAAGGCCTGGCTGTGGGAGTGGGATGTTTGAAATGTTCCTGGTGTGTGTGTGTGTGTGTGTGTGTTTTCCATCCACTTTCACAGTAACATGTGGAGGCGGCCAGGCACAGGAGACTTCTGTAATGTGCAGATCTTTCTCCTGGAATGTTTTCTTTCATCTCTAATCACTGCACTGAGGCTCATAAATCAGGCAATCAAGACAAAAAGCCAAACAAGAAGCATAATTTGCTTCTTCCTGACCCATGTTGTTTTTGGCACATGGAAACCAGAGACTTTCCCACTAACGACACCATGGGGGACTGTGGATGAGGAAATGTCGGCCTGGTGACTCTCCCCATCTCCTCTCTTCTCTTTCAAGGCATGCCAAGAGATCCTCGGAGGCTGATGAACAGAATGGACACAGGCGTTTGGTTCTTGGAGAACAAGCCATGTTTTTAGGCATTGCTTGCCCAGGACCAACAGGAAAGGTTGAGGTTGGGAAGCAATTTCAGACAATTCCATTTTTTTGTCTATTTGCCTACATGTCTTTACACACATATTTAATCTCTTTCTCTTACATGCATTCACACACACACTCACACTCTCTCACACACACACAGCAAAGAGCTTGGAACCAGTGCTCCCTAGTGGGGTCAGAACACCTTGCACTGTTGTGTCCTCAGAACAATCCACTTCTGAGGGGCTCAGCCATGTATGCTGAGGTGGTCTTGGTGTTGCTGACCATCCAGTTAGCAGCTTCCTCTGGACAGCAAACTCAGCAGGAGGCACACAATCATCCACTCAGAGTTGTCCCTACTCTGGTAGGATAGATAGAACTTTAATGAAAACTCCCTGCACACTTTAACATACATACGTTATTTTCACCTGAATTATCTTTTGATGTGATGTATCCCCTCATCTGTTTTGAGGGGGACCCTGCGTGAGTGGCAACTCAGGTCCAGAGAAGGAAGGGAAATAGGAAGGGAGGCTGCATTAATGCCAGTGAAGTCTTCAGATTGCAACATGGAGAACACTTTTCTCAAATAAAGGGGAAACAATTTGTCACTGTGATCATAAAATCGTGCAGTATCTTTTCTACATTCTTCCCTTTAAAATGCAAGTTCTACAGTACTATTAAAACTGTCATAAACAATTTATCATCCAGTTAAAAATTACTCATAAGCTACATACATTTAGTGGAAATATTAACTTTGACCAGAGTTGAGCTCCCTGTGATAATCCCCACAATGTAAACTCAGCATCTGGTACTTGGAGGGTGAAAGGTGAAAAACCAACTTCCTCTTTTTAAATGTTATCCTTTTTCCTAAACGGCATGAAAGTGCCTTTGCTCACTTTCCCTTCATTTTCCGCTTGCCCCCCTCTGAACAGTTTCCTGGCATTTCCTCCTCCTCCTCCTGAGGAAGGAGTTTCCATAATGCCCAGGAGACGTGAAGGAATTAACTCCCACTTCCTTTCCTTGAATAGCCACTGGGTACAAAGATGGTTCTGGTGGTGGGAGTGTGCAGAACCACGGAGTCTCCCCAGCAACAAGTCGGTTCTGCCGAAAGTCTAAATGATGGGGGGACACTGACATCTGATAGGGGCTTGCCCCATGGTTGTCCTCCTGCTTCAGTTTAATGTCTTGAAGTTTTAATACAATTTAAAAACGCAAATGTGATTTTCAATTATCTACCAATTATTGGACTGTGTTATTCTATGGAGAATCTGCAGCATCTGACCTTCATCGAAGAGGCCAGAGAGGGAAGGACGCCCAACATGAGAGGTGGAGTTTTAGGAAGGCGATCTGAAGTCCTTGGAGACCCTTCAAAGATTTCTCCGTGCCTGACTGTTGCTGGCAAATCCTGGCCTGAAATAGGCAAGAAGACAAGGGAAACTAAGCCGGCAGTACAGCAAGCATCCAGCCCCTCACCAGATAAACCCAGGATGAAGAAGTGCTGGAATCCCAGAGGATCCAGAGGTCAACTGGGAGTTGGGCCTGAAGTCAGTCCTGTCGGTGTTGGCACAGACAGGCTGGGATAGCAGCAGAGTGCGTGGCCAGGGAGAAGAGGGTGAATTGGGAAGCAGGACCCAAGCGGAAGGCGGAATTTTGACAGGCCACATCCTGCCCCTCTAAACCTTTGGCCACTCATTTCCAGAGAATGGGAAGGCGGGAGGGGAGTAAAAGTAGATTAAACCTGGTCTTGAAGTCTTTCTAAGTCTTCTGTGATTGAAAGAGAAAGGCTGTATGTTGTATGTATCCCATCAGAATAAGATGGGCAAGCTTTCAGAGTGTGTGTGTGTGTTTATATGATTTTACTGGCTTACTATCCTGATGCTATCAATGTTACCCTGTAATATGTATAAGACTGTAGAACATGAAATGAAGCTGCCCCTCCCTCTGTGCAGTCCTTAACTGAAAAAGAATCTGCTGCCATCAGAACCTAAATTAGCTTCCCCTGTTCCCTCCCCCCCCCCCAATGATTTAGCACTACAGGCAATTGAAAAGTGTTGGCAGCATTCCATTTCCATTCTAAAATGGCAAAATCCCTCACAAATACAGCTGGTTCACCTTGGGCACTGGAACAGGTTTGTGAAACTGGTTTTATGACATGGACATGACTTGTGCTCCATCCGCAGAACATCCCCTGGGGGAACATGTGAGTCTCTTGCTCTGGAAAGATGTTTTGCTGATGGCTGCATGCAGGCAGATATTCCAGGAAGAACAGCAAATGCTTTTATTAGTGTACCACAAACGCTCCCCATGCTGTGGTCAGGGCTGTAGCTCTGCAGAGGATGGCTCTTCAACCCAAGGGACTGTCCAGTACAGAGAACAAAAAACAGGGCTGTCCTCTTCCTCCTCCTCTAGGACCTGCTTCTACTCAGTTATGTCTTTGTGAAACAGCCTCTGCGTAACCCCCCCCCCCCCTCCAATGGCCCAGGAAGAAGGGATCTCTGCTGCAGGCAGTTCTGTGTGATGCCACGGATAACTGTCACAGCACACAGGCCATCTAGCGCACCAGAGGTTGGTTAGGGAAACCTGAGGACTCACATTGGGAGTTATCCCCAGTACCTCCTTTTAGAAGAGGGAGCACCACCAATATGCTTCCACCCTCTTGATGATTCCTGTGGCACATCCGGTTGGAGACGATTGCTTCCTCTCCCTGGGAGTCCCCTAAGCCCATTGACCTGGGGCATCCTAAGCACTTGCCCTGCGCAATGACAAG